TCAGAGCACATCTCTGTGAGGTTGGTTCTCCCACCTTGAATGCAGATCTCCAGTCCAGCATAGCAACCACCTTTATCCACTGAGCCATCTTGCTGGCTCTAACAAGAAAAACAAATAATCTGATTAATCAGAATGTTTTAGTATGCATAAAAGTATACATAATGTTGTTCATGAGCATGGACAAATGTTTATGGGGTGTACATGCATGCACATGTCACATATAAACAATTGTATAATTATAAGAAAGTCTTGTCACAGTTTATAGAAGAAGATAGAATTCTGTAAAAGTTGATCATTGATTTAGAGATTGAAAATGTCAGTAGACCACTGCTTTCTGGGAGAATTACTTTCATGTTAGTCCTATGCATCTCAGAAGACTCAGCCTTTCGTGCATTGACTTACTTGCCACTGGGGCCTGTGGTAGGCAGCTGTCAAGCTGGAATGGTGCACTCTGCTTCCTAGAGGGAGTCTGGGTCTCTGCAGCCAGTGACTGCAGTGCTGCAGATATGGGGTCAGTGCCCCTGGGGATCAGGACCCATTGTTGGGTGTGTAGAACTGTCTTGGTCTTATGATTTCCTTCGGCTTTCAGAACAGTGTGATATTCCCTTCTCCCATTTGTCAGTGATTTACTTTTTAATAATGTCTTCCAGACAGTTATTTCCTGGTTTGGTCTCTTAGGAAATGTTTCACCTTTTCTTGCCTTCTCTTTTATTCACATCACCTTCTTCTAGAAATAATGTAGACGTGATATCAGTAATACATTGTTTGCATGGATGTTTGGGGTTTTTTGTTTGTTTGTTTGTTTGTTTTCACCTTCTAAGAGAAGTGTATTTGTTGACATTCTCTTAAGGTAACTTATAAAATGTCCCACAAGAAAAATGCTTTTTAACAGATGTGTATGTTTGATTTGTTTTCATTTTCTCTCAGTATCGGGATGGAACCTAGGACCGCTCATGTGCTAGGCAAGTGCTGGACCACTGAGCCACATCCCCAGCCCCCTTTTCATGTTGTATTTTGAGGCAGGGTCTCCTAAGTTGTCCATACTAGCCTTGAACTTGCTGTTCTGAATCAGCCTTCTGGATAGCTGGGAGTTCTTGAAAGTTTCTTTTGTACTGCATCATTTAGAAATTACTGATAGACTACCTAGTAGTGTGCTGTGCTCTGTATGGGAATGTACTATAACCAGATCACCTACTTCTTCTCACTCGTGGAGTCTGGGGCAGCCTCTGGTCCTGCACAGGAATGCTCTCTTGAGAAAGTCTCCGATGGCACAAATGTGACGGATATATATGATGGGTTGTTTACTAGGTGACTCTTCCTCAAGTTATGTGTGTGGGATGTCGTCCTATCAGCTCTGATAAATATTATTTTTCTTTTGGCTTAAATTTCTGTAATGAGTCAAAGATATGCTTTTTTATTTTTAATCAAGAAGCACATTTACAAGAGAAAATCCCACATTTCTCACAAGGCCTGTGCGCTTCAGTTTGTGCCAGCAGCATTGTGATTCGTCTCCTCAGGAATCGCCGTAGCTCTGTATTTTAAAACTAGCTCATATGCTCTTTCTTCTGCCTCAGCTGTAAATACACACAGATTCTGAGTCTGTAGAGTGTCTTGTGTTCTTTGTAAAGCTTGTCAGCAGCCTTCTCTGACTGGAGCTATTGCTTACCTCAGATACTCCCCTAAAACCCTGGAGCACACACACCCTGTGTTAGTGGTGGTGGACTCACCAGTAGACTTGGGACAGCTCTCCCACTAATACAGTAAACAGACACAGCCAGCTGCTGGGGGTCTCTCAGAAGTGGAGATGTGTGCAGCCCCTCCCTGCCAGGCCCAGGCCTTCACAGACTCAGCTGCTTTGCTGAAAAGTGTAACTTGTAAAAGCTTGGGGGTTACAGAATTAAGGATAGTGTCCTTGCTGTGAAGGCTGGAGAGCTGCCTCGCAGTTCAGTGTACACTGCTCTTACAGAAGATCTGAGTTTGGTTCCCAGCACCCATGTTGAGCAGTGCACAACAACCTGTAACTCCAGCTCCAGAGGCGTCCAGTGCCTCCAGCGCCTCCAGCCTCTGAGGACACCCACACTCACACGCACCTGTCTACACACCAGCATACTTGTACACATGATTAAAACTGAAAATAAGCCTTCCAAGAAGAGTCTGACTGTAGCAGCTAATTCGCCAAAACGTATTATATACTTAAGGTCTTTTTGTTTCTGAAATCGTTTTACTTGTGACTTATACAGATGCATGTATTCTAATGTTGAATAAAATAACAAGGGCTAGAGTTCTAACTGACTTTACTTACTCAGAAGGGCAGGGACATAGCTCAGCAATAGAGTGCTTGCCCGGCATGTGTGAGTCCCTGGATTTGATCACCCCTAGCACTATCACAGAACCGAGGGAGAGGGAGGGAGGGCTGGGGAGGGGGAGTGGAGAACAACGACAGGCAATGCAGAATATCTAACAGAAAGCTTCTATATTTCCTGAGTTAAGGAAAACAATTCCAGCCAGGCTTGTTGGTTCCAGACCAGGGAGTATCTGAGGCAGAAGGATTGCATGTGCAACATCTTCTGGGCAGTGGAGTGAGTTCAAGGCCATACTGGAAACATAATAAGAAAAAAGACTGTGTCTCAGCTGAAAATAAAAAGACAGCTGGAAACAAAGCTCAGTGTCAGAGCACTTGCCTAGCATGTGCCATGCCTTAGAAGTCCGTTCCTGGTATCATGGAAGGGAATGCAGCAAAGTAAACCTCATTGCTGTTTTCACTTTTTAAAAGATAGGTCTGCTTGGTTAGTTTTGTTTTTTGTCAAGACAGAGTTTCACCTGAAACTCACTTGGTAGCCCAGGCTAGCCTTGAACTTGTAATGGTGCCACCTGCCCTTTGAAATGGTTCTTGTGTCTCTAACTTAATCTAGAAAATCCCTAACAGACATGCCCAGGGGGTTGTTTCTCTGATTCTAAATCCTGTTGATTGACAGTTGAGGTCATCCATCCTTGCTACTAATACACTCATGAAGCTTTTCTGGGATTCTGGTCCATGGGTTTATAGTCCATTCCCCGATGGTCTAGTAATACAGTAAACCCTGAGACCTAGGTAAAGCACCCTTGTTGGCCAAGTCCAACCATCTGCTTGGTTTCTTTGACTGGTGTTCTTAGAATCCAGGTCTCATGCCTTTTCCAGATCACTAGGCAATAAGGCAAGACTCCTTCAGTATGTGTTACCTCCCGTGATGTACTCTTGGGTTGATCTCTGGATGCTAGGATTTTACTCTTTATATCCCTGCAGGCCTTGAATATTGGTGGTGATGGTGGGTCCTGCCTGAATAGATAGGCACTTCCTTTTCAGACAGCCACCCTATGTGAAGTCATTGGGCCCTTTTTTTTTTTATAAAAGAACACTAGTTTTCTTAGAAGATGGACAGATTCATTTCCAGTATGAAGAAATCTGTAGAGAGAGGCTCAAGGTTCTTGGATCAGTTCAGTCAAAAGCCTCAAGTTCCTGTCCTCACCAACCAGAACCTTTGCCTTATGATACTTTACATAGTCACCTTTTCCCACAGTTGAGCAATAGTTGACACACACGTGTGACAACTGGGGTTGGGATCCCCAACACCCACATAAAGCTGTGCTGGCATAGAAGCCTGTCTGTAACCTTAGCCCCTGGAGTCAGAGATCGAATCCCAGGGGTGAGCCGAGCAGCCAGTCTAGCTGAATTGGAGACTTTGGGTTCAAGGGGGAAACCCTGCCTCCATATAGAAGGTGGAAAGATCAGAGAAGATGTACAGTGTGGCCTCTAGCCCCACACATTTATGCACACTCATGTGTACCATATACATTCTAACAGATGCCCACACTGTATATACTTACACATACAAGAAGTCAAGATACCCTCACCTGGTATGTAAGCTTCTATTCTCTGTATTTGGACCTCAGCCGTATTCTTCAGCTCATGAGAAAATGATCCCTTTAGGGTCATCATAGAGACTCTTGTTATACCTTGATCTGGGTTTGGTTAATTGTTTGGTTGGTTGTTTTTTAATTTTCTTCAGTCAGAAAAGGCCATATTACCCCCACAGACTTTGAACTCACCATGGTGCCATAACTATTGAATGTTTCCACCACTTGCTGTCCTAGAGCCTTGCCATCCCCTGTTCTGTCTGACACTTTGGATGCATACAATCAGCCGTGCAGCTTCAAAGGTAGTCTGTGGAGGTTGCTTTCCAGGACCACAGAGGAAGGCAGATAGGATTGAGTGCTGCACTGTGAAAACAATAGACTACTCTCCCCTCACCAGAGGATGGATGGCTCTGGGTGGGAGGAGAAGGCACTGTCCAGAGCCCCAGGGAACTCGTGACTCATTGTGCTAAGGTGCCCAGCAGGAGTTTGAGAAGAGCATCTCTGTTATGTAAGGCCTCTGAGTCACATAAGCAGATCCTGAATTACTTCTGTGAGCAGTCTGGGTATGAATGTACTAGTTGGTAAGCTCCTTCCCAGGGTAGTACCTAAGCTCTGCCGTGTATGTGTTTTACAGCTGAATTGGTGGTGTGCCTTAATTTCTTTTGATGTTTCTGTTATTGTTGTTTTGAGACAGGGTCTGACTCTGTAGGCCAGGCTGCCCTGGCACTCATAGCAGTCCTCCTGCCTCGGCCTTCCAGGTACTGGGAATAGGTACTGGGATATGAAACACTGTACTTAACTGTGACTTGTACAATGTACTTCAAATTCTTCGGCTGCCCTGTTGGCTTTAAAAGGTGGAAAAGCTTTTCCCTTAGCTGTTAATAGGGATGGTGTGTCATCCAGACTCCACTGACGGTGGGAGCACACATGCACACACATGCCTTACCTGCTGCCTGGGCTCAGCTTGAAAAACAGCATCTTACATCTCATGTGTGCTGTTCATGCCTTGTCACTTGCTCTAACAAAGAGAGACTGTCTCCGGGTGGGGAAGAGCCAGACCCTTCAACCCTGAGCTAACAGTGCTCCTCTCTCCCTCCTTCCCCCAGGAGGACAACTGTTGGCTTCGTGGCTTACTGCTGCTCCACCCAGTGTCTGCAGACTTTTGACCTGCTGAGTTGATAAACACTCAAGAGCCTTAGGAGCACTGCCAGCTGACCCTGCAGCTGCCTGCCGTAGCCCAGCATGTGTGTGGCAGGGCCAGGAGAGTCCAACCAGGCGGAACAGACCCTTCCATCCTGTCCAGTCCTGTCCTGTCCAGTGGGGGTGGGGGGGGTGAAGAGGGGGCGTGCTGAACTTTCTGGAAATGTCCTGATTGGGCTTCACAACTGAAAGGCCTTCACCCTTCCCTCAAGTTGGAATATATCCTCCCCCAAATTAAGAACATTTTTGTCTTCTGTGTTTTCCTTTTTATGTGAGTGTCTCATACATAAACTATGTAGTCAGATGAGCTTCTCCACATCTAATTTAAAGCGAGTTGCAGCTCCCTGAAGAACTCTTAACTTGATAATAGAACCAAATTAACTGTTGGCCGACATACCTTCGGTGATGACCCTCCTGTCTTTCCCCAGAGGGTTACTCCCCTGGAGATTATTCTCGAGGCATCTCCATTGGGAAGATGTCAGTTTACACTCTCAGCAGTCCTGCACAGCAGGGCGGTGCCCAGGCTGGCGCAGTCAGGTTCCTGCGGAGGCTCAGCAGGCCCCAGAGCACACACCCTCTGGGAAGTTCCTGCCTTATTTCTAAGTTTTGCAACCTATGAAGACATTTTTTAAAGAGGGAATTTAAAAACAAAAATGTAGATACTAATTAAATACACTCATGTTCTAAACTACAACAGGAAAACAAGTTTTGAAATGTTTGGGTTTTTTTTGCTAAGATTTTCTCCTATATATAATTGGCAAATTTGAGGCCCCCGATCTTCCACTGTGGATGAGGCTTAGTGGCATTTACCCATACATGAAATCATCTTCATTTTGACTCTGAATTCTCACTAGGAAAACAGAAGTGAACGGGTCCACACTCCACCTCCAGCTTTTGCAAAGCCCACGAGCTTGCCTTGCAGAGAGACACGCTCTGTGTGGGGGAGTCACTGATTTCATCTGCCTTTAAAAGGATGGCATTTTAATCTGCTTTGCTTCCAGATGTTCATCTGGTAGCTGTGGAGTGGTTCTTCTGGGGGTGGGGTGGTGGCGGGGACAGTTTTATGTCCTAGTGGTATAATTTATATAAGACAAGTTTGAAAGGAGAAGCAAGAAGGGTTGCTTGGTGGAAAAGCTATTTCCAAAAACAAAAAACGTGGTTGATGACATTTTATTAACCAGCCTAACTGCAATTCTAGGCTCTAACAGTGCAAAAAACCCTACGTAGTTACTGACAAACGTGTGATCTCTTTGCAGTCACACCACCTGCTGCCCAAAAAAGCAGACTCTCCTAGTAATGGTAGAGGCAGAAAAGGACCATGCATGCCAACTGTATCATCACTGTCCCTACTTCCTCCTGTCCCTTTCAGAACTTGGTCTCTTCAGCCTTAACATTTCAAAGGCCTAGAGTATAAGAGGAACTGAGGGCCTGGATCAAATGTGCCACTCCTTTCATCCTTTAGAATAATGGAAGTTTCAGTATAATCCCTACATGTATATAAGTTAGAGGGAGAAAATGTGACCTGAAACCTCACATGTGTGTTTGGCTTAGGTAACTGCTACCTACCACATGAATGACAGTAAATACATGCTACATCTTTCTGTTTCACACTGTGCTGTCATGTCTTAAGACCCCGATACTCAGGAATTCTCACTGAGATAATAAGGTGTGGAATACTTTCGTTTAATGTGTTCAAATTTTTACAAAGTATTTATACTCCAGACATCTTCCTTCTGTGTGTTGAACTCCTTGCAGTGTGTTGAACACTAGTAGTGGGCTGGGCAAACAGCCCCTAGGCTGTCAGTCTTAATCTTGGGTACAGCATCTAGGCTTACTAGATGAGAAAGAGAATTTAGAAGGTGGTTTCTCTGGTGCTGCTCCTCGTGGAGACTTTGTGCTAGACTCACTGGTGTCATTGTTAACCTTTTGGTATTATAAAAAACCGTTATCAACTGGAGAAAGCTTGCCTCTATGCTGCGTGCTCCAATTGTGTCCATTCTTTCCTCCCTCCCTTTCTTTCCTGGGGATCCCATCCTCAGCACTGCACATGCTAGGTTAAGTACCCTGTTGCCGAGCTATACCTCCAGCCCTGTGTGTTGTTTTCCCTGATCAGGTAGACATATATTTCATACAATAACAGTAATAAAATGAATGAGCTGCTTGGAAAATGTAATCTGTACAGATAGGTTTTCATCTTCAGCTCATGTGTGGTTGATTAGTGCTAAGTTAAAAGCTAGAGTGGCCTGGAGGACAGGTCTTTCTCTGATGTACAATGGAACCAAGGCATCCTTCTTAGTTGATGGTTCCCCAGCAGTGTTCTTCAGTAGAATTGTTACCGTTTCAAAAAATCCAGATGATACAACATTGTGCGAGTGAGAATGTTGTATCTTCAGTGCACTATATATGTGTGTGCTCTTATATGTGCATATATGTGAGTTTGTATAATATGTACATGTATATATGTGTATGTATGTATATATATGTGTGTATACACACATGTGCACATCGAAGTTACCACCTTTTCTCTTGCACGTATATGTGCATGTATATACATATATATTGTATGTATTTTTCTGTTTGACAGTCTCATACATTTATATGGTGACTTTTAAGTTGCTAGTACCCCCAACTCCCCTCTCCCAATGGAGCCCTTTTCACCAGGTCCCCTCTGCTTCCATGACTTTTGTGCATGATCTCCTGAGTGTGATTAGTTCTGTGCCTGAGTCGGAGTAGGAGGTCATTGGGTAGAGCAAGGGGAATTCATCAGGGCTGCACCACTGTCCTCCGGGGACAACCTTCACCTGGAGTATGCTGGGGGAGGGCCTGGTTGGCCTCTCCTGCATCCACAGTGAGGCACTGAGAGTTACAGTTCTGTAAACGCCTTGTTCTTAAGAACGCAGGAGAGCCCTAATGGTAGCCCGCTCTGACAGAGCCTAGTGGCAAGCAGTGTTTGCAGTTTGGTCCTCTTTTAGAAACATCTTTTGGTCCTCGCCATGAGCACTCACTAGAGCCCTTCACACACAATGCACTGTTTTAACACCCATCTCACATTGTCTCACACCAAGTATACTGAGTTAAAATATGATCTAAGAAAAAAGCCTTCAATACTACCTTACAGACTCCATGTGTAATTTTCATTAAAATATACGAGTACTTCAGTCTCTGGGGGCTTTCAAAGCCAACTTTAAGATTAGTAGTAAAAGTAAATTTCTCAAGTTGAAAACTCAGATCTTACTTGAACTATAGAAAGTTCAAATGTGATAAATGCTTCAATGGAAATCAAAACGTTTTTAAAATTATGAGTGCAGATTGCTAATGGACAAACACCATGCAACCTCCTGTGATTAGATACTAAGACATACCACACTCTCTTTATATTTGTGCAGCTTTATAGATCACTGGGCCATTGCAATATTTTTAATTTTTGTGATTTCTGTCTACCCTGTTTGTTCCAGTGAACGTCCGCTGTATTTCTCCAGGAACTCTGAGCATCTTGTGTTTTCTTTAAGCAGAGAGGATTTTATTCCTGAAAATAGCTCCATATCTAAACCTAAGTCTGACTGTCCCTATCCAGGGAGTACCTCCAGTGACACCAGCTAGTAGATCTGAGTGATGTGGGTGTCTGTAGGAAAGAGATGGAGCATAGCCCGGTGACTGTCATCCTCAGGAAAAGACAGTGCTTCACAGCCCAAGATGCTCTTTGAAGCATGACTGCATGGTCCTTTGTATTGCAGAGACTCAAAGTGCTTGCAGCCAGAGTGGAGGTGGGACAGAGGGTGGAGGCGGGGCATTGGGCGGAGCCTTTGGGGATCATTCCTGCATTAAATTAAAACACAAGGGCTACCAGGTTTGGTTTGGGTTGGGTTGGGTTTTTTAATTTTGTCACCTTGTAGTAGGGACAGAGTTAATCTTTCTATCTTTGTCAAAGAATATTTGTTGGGTTTTGTTTTTCATACTGTTCTAAAGGGTGTGTGTGTGTGTGTGTGTGTGTATGTGTGTGTGTGTGTATTGACTTGGAGCATGCTCATTGTCTACAATGTATATTATATCTAGTTTGATCACATGTTTATAGAATAATTGTTATTTATAGAATAATTGAACTTGAATTATATAATTGCTCAAAAATGTAGATGGTATGGTAGAGTCTTCATTGTTTCAACCAAATGCACTTTGTTAAGAGAAAGGGGACTTAAGCAGGGCAGTGAGATAGCGCACACCTTTAGTCCCAGCACTTGGGAGGCAGAAGTAGGCAGATCTCTGTGAGTTCGAGGCCAGCCCGATCTACAGAGTGCGTTCCAGGACAGTTTGAATTTACTTTTTCCAGGATTCAGCAATTACTCAAGTGTGCAGCAGTCCCAGGAGTGTTTGTTTATTAAGAGAGATGAGTGGAGCAGAACAGGGGGCATGGAGTGGAACAACTTGCCCTGTTCCCATCTCCACTGCAGGACACAAAACTGAACCAGCAGCTTCGTGGAAGCCACACAGAGGGGCAGGGTGAGCTGGGACTTTCTCAGGCCCTCATTTCCAGATTGTTGTCACTTGATCCGCTTGCCACTCCCTAGATGTCACCTGTAAGAGTGTTCTTACTCTACCTGATGGAAGCTTGTCAGGTATGACAAAGCTTTTCCCTGTAGCTTGTGCTGGAAGATCTACAGAGAATTGATTAGCATGTGGACAGCATGTGGAACTAGCAATAGGCTAGGAATTTTGAAGGAAGGCTGGGGAATGAGGCAGCCAGGGGGTTGGGGAAAGCTCTGTTGTTCCTGAGGGTCAGATGGTCGCACACATATGCAGGGCTTTGCACGTCCAGAGGGTTCTCCCCTTGCTCAGGAAGATCTGATAACATCCAAAGTGCTCATCTTAAATTGTCTTGAGGCTCTGTGAAAGCAGATGGTAAAGCCAAAGGCAGTGCTGTCACCTCTGACTGAGTGTGGAAGGATTGTCCCTGCATGCACTCAGAGCCCTGAGCACACATGGGGAGACTTTACTGGTTCCAGGTAGGGAAATCTCTTCCTATCATCAGCTGATCACTGAGCTACCAGAGCACACAAAGAATGCAGACTGGTGATCTTCCTCGAAGACTCACCAAAACCCAAAGACACAACTACAG